TGCTGTCCAGAATGTCGGCGCTCCAAATCCAGGATGGATCTGATTCTGACATTGTCTGGGAATGTAATAATTTTCTTCCCTCTGTTTGTGTCTGCCGGGAGTAGACAACTCTCAGAGGAGAGGAAGAAAGTGGGGAGAAATACAATGAAGAGAAAATCAAAACAAAAACAGATTAGGGTTATTAATAATAGCAGTAAGAGTATAATTTGTCTAGCTTTTATGTTTTTTTAAGTTCATTCCAAAATGAAATTTCTGTTATTATTTATTAACCCTCATGCCGTTTCAAACCTGTATGACTTGCAATGTTTTCTTCTTTGGATAATAAAAGGAGAAATGTTGACATTCATTTTATAATGAATGGGGACTGGAGCTCTCAAACTCCAAAAAAATGGAAATACACCATAAATATGATAGATGTAGCCATAATTTGACTAGTGAGTTATACATCATGCAATATGTGTGATTAAGTCATTGTTCACTGAAAATGAGTTGTCTATTAATTGTGACTGGATTGAGTGACTGAGAATTGTAAACTTTTTGTAATTGTAATTGTAAATTGTAGTCATTTAGTTCCTCTTCAGGAACTCCAGCTGTGTCGAGAACGCTAGGGGAACGCCTTCAGTGACCCACGCTCTGAATCACATGTGAAATCAGTCCAATAGCTGAGCGGGACGTCACAGCGGATGACGTCATGACCGGGAAGCTATAAAAGCACGTGCGGCGGAGCCAGCGTCAGCTTTCTGTCATTCAGCGAAGCGCTCTGTGTGTGTAAGTCATATTTATTGTTGTCTGTCAAAAGTCTATTAGCTCCAGCTATGTCTAAGCTCATGCAAGGACAAAGCATTTCAAGGGCGAGAGCAAGCCACGTTGTAGGTTGTGTGTTCCTCCCTGCCCAAAGATAGTTATATCACGAGTGGGGACACACACAGCCTGTGCGTGGTTTGCTTGCGAGCGAAGCATAGTTGTTACTGCCTTGCTTCGCTCTCAGAGGGCTCTCTTTGAGGAGGGAGCCTTCACTAGCGTTCCTTGCGGAGCTTGCGCAGTCGGGGCGGATTGTGTTTTTTTTCCCCGCTATTAAACGCTCCGAGGAGTGTGTCCGTGCCTGTGATCTTGCGATTGCGGTCCCGCTGCTGCTGAGGCACGGCGGCGACTGAGAACGTGGAGATCGCTCATGATCTAGCAGACGGGTTGGAGACGGCTCTTCCTATCTCCACCCGTGTTCGCTAGATTTAGAGCTTGTTTGTTTGTCAAGGAGATTGATGTTGATCGTGTGACTGAATGGCTCGCTCGAGTGAGAGCACTCGTTAACCTCTCCTCCTTTGAGGAGGTTGAGGCGGTTTGCAGGGGCTGCTGGGCGGAGCAGTCCCA